CGCGTGACAGGCCTGCCGACCCGACCCGCACCGGGCGCCCCCCAGCGCTGCGCTGCGCCTGCACCTCCGGGACGTTCAGCGGGATGACTCCGAGCCGAGATGAGTTTCGAGAGTTGCAGCAGCTGGCTATCCCATGGGGAGGGAGAGGGAGGGAGGGGGGGGGGAGGACTTGGTCACGTTGTGGGTACACGCGCCCTCGCCGTCGTGCTGTGCGTCGAACGCCGCTTGCGGCGGATGGAAAGAGCGGGGAGGAGTAACACTTTGCTTTGGAGTACGGGCGTGGGACATTATCGCGGAGGAATTGAGAACTGAAACACACCTCTACATCATTGTCCAGTCCCTGATCCAGGATTGGCCCGCCGTTGCCGTTGGAGGGGAGGGGTGCGTGCGTAGGTGCCCCCGCGGGGGACACGGCACCCCACCCACCCCGTCCAGGCTCCGGCTCCGCACGGCTCCGCCCCACCCCACCGCGCGCACCCGGCCGACGCAACGCATAAAAGGGGTCCGCGCGAGCAGACGCCCCTCCAGTACCTGGACGTGCACGTCATGGGGACCATGGCCTCCTACCAGTTGAGCCGAGCCGGCCTCCTGCTGGCCCTATGCGCCGTCTGCTTCGGTGAGTCTGGGGTCTCTGCCGCCGTCTGCTGGCGTTGAGCGGCCCCGGCCCCTGCTACGGCCACTCTTCTCACACCCGGCACCGCGGCTGCGGCCCGGCTCTTCCGCCAGGTCTGCACGGCACTCGCGGCCGGCCCGCCCCCATGCTGCTCGAGGCGGAGCAGGCCCCCGACGCGGAGGACGCGGCGCTACAAATGGAGCTGCAGACGCTGATGAACCTGTTCCAGGCCAAAGGGAAGCGCGGCCAGGATCTCGCCGAGAAGGTAAGACAAACGACGGCACGTTATTCGATCAGATGCAGGGCTCGTCGTGATGTGTGGTACCTGGAGACAAGAGTATTCGGGAGATGGGGTACTTTGTGATGTGGGGCGTGGGGTATTTTGTAATGCGGGCTGCAAGGAGCGTTGAGATTCCCTGTAGAACTGGTACGGCGCAAAAATTACGAAATTGCTCATGACAGTCATCCAACTCACCCAAACTACTCTACAACTGCAGATACAAATAGTGTTTATTGTGTCTAGGCTGTAGGCGGGGAGGTGCCGATCACTATGGCGGCCACGTATCGAGGTCTCGTCCGATCCCGACGATAGGCCCGCGCTCCCCCCACCGGGGGCCCGTGAGGCTGAGGGGGCGCGCGCGAGGGAGGCCTCTGGTCCGGATTAAGATTGAAGGCCCACGCGTGAGGCGACTCTGATAGGGGCTGGG